TCTGTCTGTCTGTCTGTCTGTCTGTCTGTCTGTCTGTCTGTCTGTCTCAGCTTCAGAAAACCCACCCATCTCTCAGTTTGCGACATAATCAATTCTAATGAATTTTTCTCCCTCTGAAAAAGTCACTCATTCTATAGAGGAAAGCCATTCCAAGCGAAGATTAAGTTTGGTACATATAGGCCTGCTCTTTCACGTCACTTACTTAAATGATCTGATATAAGGGCTGATGTGTGTAATTCTCATTCTGACAGCTGTAAGAAAATCCTGATAATCCCCAATCATGTCTAACAAACTCTAGATTACACTGGATAGCCAATGCATTTTAGCAAAATATCAAGTGAATGCTGCCAATGCATTTTAGCAAAATATCAAGTGAATGTTTCTGTAAATAAATGAGAAATGCTGTGTGCTCTGCAAAACAATAGGAGAGAATATTATGCCTGTTTTCCTTTCAGATAATGCAGAGGTGGATCAGCAACCAGAGATCACAAAAGATGATTAATTTGGTGTTAGTCTAGTTTCAGCAGTCATTCCCACGACTGTATCTCTGTGAAGAAGCCCTCATACAGACCAAATCCCTGATCCAGGCTCAGAGGAATGGCCTGTGCCTCCTCTTTAATCTCCTCCCACGGTTGCAGCACTGCCTCTCCTGGCTGCTCTGGGAACAGCGTGGCCGGCTCCTCAAAATGCTGCGGGTGGTGGTGGCTCAGGAGCAGCTGATCTTGCTCCAGCTGCTGCTGCCTTTGCTGTGGTTGCTGCTGCTGAGGCATATGGAGCTCTCCCATGTTGGCCATGCACTCAATAGAAGCAGCACTTAGGTCCATGTAACCATAGGACTGATGATGAGGATGGTGCAGGCTCTGGCTCAAAACATCACCTCCTCCACACCACCTTCCCAGCCCTGCTGAGTGCTGCCTGTCCTGCATGGAAACCTCCATCTCACAGCCAAGGGAGCTCAGTGCCGTGTTGATGTCCAGATCCTCAAAGGTGCTGCTGCTCCCGCTGAGAACGTCGTCAAACACAGACGCCAGGTCAAAGTCCCCCCTCACGGTGTCTGCTTTGCTGGCTTTTGTGGCCAACAGGGGGGATTCTGTGGCCCTACTGTTGCTCTTAGACGCCAGGTGCTTCTGTTTGCCACCAAACCCCTGGTGAGGGCAGGTATTTTGGCTGCTGTGATAACCCTGAGTCACTTTATTCTGCCTTTGAGAGCCGCTGCCGCTACTGTAGTGGTTAGCAGACATCCTCCTGCGTTTGAAGATGCCATTGACAAACATGTCGGCGTATTGAGGATCGATCTGCCAGAAGCCTCCCTTCCCCGGCTCATCTTTCTGTCTTGGGACCTTCTTAAAACACTTATTGAGGGACAGGTTGTGACGAATAGAGTTCTGTGACAACAGAAAGGGAATTGAAAAAAAGGAGACTTAACATGGATGCAATGGAATATTTAATTCATGCAAAACTGAAAAGCCCACTCTTTCAGGATAGTAGGCGTTGGGAGTATTGTTGTTGTTTGTTTAGAAAAGCAAATGCTCCTAATGAGGCTTTCTAGTAACAGGCAGCTCTGCTCATTTCAAACAAGTTCAGATGTGCTTAGCTGCCATCTCTCTCAGGAGCCCTCATTAACACACACATACTCTCTCTCTCACCCACACACAAACACACACAGAGTGCTTTCTCCACCTCATCGTCATAATTCCCTTCAGACAAAAAGCCAGCATCAAAATGGAAATAGCCTACTCTTGGATAGATAAATAAACACTTGTTATCAGAGGGTGGAGGTTTCAACAACAATTCTATGAGTTGTGCCTTCTGCCTGATGTTCCGAGGCCTGCAAATAAAGTGCGTGATGGTGACATCGGAGTCAACTGCACAGCCTTCCACCTTCACCTCGCCATTTGTCACACTCATTAATTATATAGGTTGAGTTATCCGGTCTCGGTTACCTGCCAGCTGGGCTCCGCGTGTCTGTAGTAGCAGAAATTCTCCGTTATCCAGTTATAGATGGTAGATAGAGTCACTTTGGGCTGTTTGCTCGCCTGCATAGCCATGCAGATGAGAGAGGCGTAGGAATAGGGCGGTTTGACTTTAGGGTTGGTTTTGTAGTCCACTTCCACTGGAGCGCTTGCCTGTACCGGGATCTGCGCGTACCCGACTGTGGGGTGCGCACAGTTGGGAAACTGCGGTGCCGTCTTGGAGTCGCTGCCGGAGGTGACAGGGCTTCCGAGGTACAGAGGCATCCCGGTGGCGGCGGTGTCTCCGGCAGGAGGGCTGGACGGAGAGTCGGTGCCAGCTCTGGGAAAGCCAAGGCGTTTGAAAAAAATATGCTGCTGCGAGGAAGGACACCCGTTGGGCCGCTCCGGGTCCGCGTTGAGGATGGAGAAATTCTGGAGCCAGTGGAGGCTGGTCAGGCTGTCGTCGAGGGGGGCAGAGTCACACCCGGTGACCTGATCCTCCGGGAACACCGCCAGCCATTTCTCCTTAAACTTGTTGGCAATGTCGGGGCTTGTCAAAACCGGCATCCTTGGATCTAGGCGCGCAATGGAGAAGGCCCAAATGTCTCTATATTTACATTTAAAGTTCAGTGGTCGCTTTAGGCGAAAGAAAAAAGTAAATGGGCGGAAGAAAAAATAGTTACGTTCTACTCATCTAAGGAACTCTTCACATCCATAGGTCAAATACATCATCAGCGATTAGATATCTGCGCAAGCGTTTAAAAACAACCAACATATTAATCCACTTTACTTAGAAATAATGCGTACATTCCCTACCTCCAATGGCTTGCTGAAGGAGATGCTCTATGTGCACCTGTTGCAGTCCGTCCCTGCCTCTCTTTTCCAAGGACTCAGCGGCGCATCTAGGTTCTGCGCAACAAGTGCGGCGGGGGGAGGGCAGGGAGCACCAAGCTCATATAGAGGGGAAAAATGAAAAGACCCTTAAGACTAAACCATGACGACTGGCGCAAAGCGCGCTTCCTTGGAATGCGTGCGGATGCTCAAGACGTGAGAAAAATGTGAAGATTGTGAAATAAAGTCCCTCATAAAGCCCAAGAGACTGCCCACCATCCCTTTAAACTCCTGGGAGGATTTCTGATTGGTTGGGTTTATGTTCTTGCCTATCCAGGTTTTATTTGCTCCCTCCCCACATCCACCGTCACCGCCTTCACTCTATAGAGTGAAACCACACGTATGGGACCACAAGGACCCCCCCTCTCATCTTATAATCTCTTTGTCTTTTGTTGCTGCGTGGGTCCCGGAAGCGGGCTGAAATATGACCCCCGTGGCGCGCGTCGCAGCGCCTGGCTGGCGCAGAAAAACGCGCGCCACCAGTCCCGCGCTACACCTGCAAAATGAGTAGCTCACGCTCAACGCACAAAGCTTTGTTTAACTTTCGCCTTCAACAAGGTTGATACTGTGCTGGCTTTAAGATTTTAGACGTGGAAAAGCAAACGTCCGCTGTGCACACAAAAGTGCTGAGCGTGCTTGCATTCATAGTGAGACATTTCCAACTAAGATCACACACTTTTAAATGTCCAAACAAAAATCCTTTTGAAATATTTGAGTGACTGTTACTCTCCAACCAAAACCACATTTTTGTTCTATATTAAGTCTTAGATCATTGTCCTTTAATTCCTTTTACTTGCCTCGTGAAATTATTTTTGTTTTTCTGCCGTTTTTCTGTCTGAGTTAACTTTTGTCACTGCACCCCAGAGCAAAGATGAAAAAAGTAACAATCAAATTATTATTATTTAGGACCCAACACCAGTCTTAAACCAGAAACAAGTACCAGAGTGAGAGAAATCTTTCAATTTAGTGCATCGCTTTACTTTATGTTCCATTAAACACATTCAATAGAATCAGTATTGGAGAATGTTTTATTTGTCTGTGTTTGAAAGATACACCAGCTCAGAGGTCATTAAAGTAAAAACAAGGGACTGAAGAAGCGCTAAAGAATCTTGAGCAACCAGTCGTTTTCTTTATGCTGCCTGGGGAAATGGGAATAGTTAGAATTGTATTTAAATGTGCGAACTTCAATAAATATTTAACTATTTTCTACCCATTCCTTTTTTCAAAGCTTGTCGTGTCTTTTTTTTCTCCGTCGTGCTGAGTAGGACAAAGAAAATTTCCATGCATAAAACTGTAACGTTTGTCCCTTTCCTTTCTTTCACATTTACTTTGCCTTATTTTTCTTGGATGCAACTAAGTGAATTAGAACAAAATAGCAATTTGTGTATAAAGATACAGGTTGGAAATAGCTTTTTGTGCTACTTGTGTAATCATCTCTTTACATTTGAACAATTGAAATACTCTAACGGATTTTGTGTATAAACTAGAACCTCAGACAGTAAAATAATAAAATGTCCAAAACTGGAATTTAAACTGTCATATAACTGAGATGCCACCAGGATTCTCTGGAGTGCTACTTTTATTTGACAAGCAAGAAGCAGACAGCATGTTTATCAGATAGAAGGTCCAGAAGTTTCAATGAATTACGCAAAGGACATATATATACCCTAACCCATCAATACATTCGCTGAATTATATATATACAAAGTTAATTGTGGGGAAACGCTGCCACCCCGTGGAAGTTCCAGAATTCACCTCGTTTTTACTCATTGAATTAAAAAAACTAACAAACGTGTGTTTCATTTGGCAAAAGACAGTCATTTACTTTTTAAGGGTGGAAAATAAACGTCTGTGGTGTCTTAACATAAGTGTGGCTTCGTCTTTGCAATAAAGGCCATACGTTGCCCGTAAATGAGAAGCAAAACAGGCCAAAGTGTAAACCGGTATGACCACTTCAACGGTTGGATTAGATGGGAAATGTATGCTTTTGTGTTGTGTATAAGTGTGTTCATATTCTCAAGGATTTTCAGCCTGACTCATTTGTGTCAGTTCATCCTTGTACCAGCATGTGTCTCTGCTTCCACTTTTTACACCATTCTTATGCGGTCACACTGTTTAGTTTACAATTACCCATAATTCTCAGCGGTATGTGCATTGGTCTCACAGAGCTCCTACTCACAACTTGCATATTAAAGCTACTGCTGAACAGGGACACCTCTTTTAGCCTACTGCTTCTAATCCCTTAATTTAGGTAAATATTTTTTTTAACGGTGATAGTATTCTCCAATATAATGAACGAGACAGATATATTTAAGTAATTGTAGAATTGTCTCACTATTAATTTATGTATCCCTATTTTACAAATAGCCTATGTGTTATTCTCACTATATTTAACAGCCATCCTTTCACGAATAACTCGATGGCATAAAATTATCAACCTTAAAAAATCAATTAATTAAATTACTTGCGGCGTAATGAACATTTGGCCAAGCCTATTGTCCTTTTAAAACCAGTGTCACCAACTTTCAAACTATGTTTAGGCAACAGAAAGGAGGGGTCGCTTTTAAACTGTACGTGATTGAAACAATGGGCAGATAAATGTGGAGGTGAGATATGATGCAGTAGCGCCGCAGTCCTCGCTGATGTGCGCCGATGAGCTGCGGCACTCAGGTTAAACAACAGCTAGCGGGAATTTTGTTAGCAGACACGACTCTGAGCTTCAACCCCGGCCGTCGGCTGTTCCCTAATTTAACTCCGAGCGATATAATTGGTGTTGGTGGATTTGTTTACCATATTTGGCAAGCTACTGACACAGCGCGCGTGGGAATTGGACGAGAGGGCCCGTCATTCACAAAAGTCAACCTTCTGGAGCTTTACAAACAAACCGCGTCCTCACGGGACTTGTAGTCCAAAACAAACCTTTACCGAGACTCTTCTGATTGAGATTCACAATCTTTGCAGTGGTCCCAGTATAAAAATTGTATTAGGATTTGAAATAATTCCCTGTGATGGTATTTCTGGCGTAAAATTAAAGTGCAATTGTCAGGAATTTGCTCAAACTAGACGTGCAAACACACGCCGATTCGAGACCCTTCGCATGCAGCATACAAGTCCCACCGACGATGGCTTCACTTCATTGGCTTCCTCCACCCGTCAATCAAGCAATGTCCCTTCCACTACCGCTCCTACAGTAAATATTTGTGTTTGCTCAACCGGCTGTAATGGTGGACGACTGAGGCAGAGACGGAATACAACTAGAGCGAAGAAAGAGGAAAAACGGTCGAAAGTCTGCTTCAGAGCCAGCTGCCGCAAGTAGGACACGGGCTTCGTCGAAAATGGATGAACTTAAACATCAAGTCATGATAAACCAGTTCGTCCTGACGGCGGGTTGTGCGGCAGACCAAGCGAAGCAGTTATTGCAAGCGGCACATTGGCAGTTCGAGGTAAAGGAAAAAAAAGAAGAAAGAAATGATAAGGCTTCGGCGACAGTTGAAGGCGTTGGAGTAACATTAGCCACTCGACTCATTGTTTAAGTCCGAAGCACCGCTTTAGTTTAGCCTCGTCTCTGCGTAAGTGTCGTCCTTTCGACGCTTGCTAAAGATATTGTAATTAAACACAAAACAAAGCGTTGCTGTTAGCCACCGCACCGAAGAGTCGGTTCAGGTTCAAACAAGAACTTGTGTTGTAATTAAAGTGAGTCTATTAGTTCTTCACCCAATGTAAAGAATAAATAGATTAAATAAAAACAGCTTGGTGCTCATCATACCCTACTACTGAGCAGCATATCCAATTAGACTCCACTCCAGATTAAATACTATAATCCGACACATTACAGCAATGTACAGACGAGGCCAGAGTACTATTACGCAATATAGATGACCGCCGTGTTGTATTGGCTATCTTGCAAATGACTGTTTTGCTACGTTGTTATGAGTCCTAACCCAAAAGATAAGCGATTAAGATGGTACTTTTAAAATGTTTGTTTTATTCACAGTTTGCTCTTTCGATTCTTCGCGCTTGACACTGTATGCATCAGATGATAAAATGACCTGTTTAGCCACATTTGATGCCTTTGCCAGACATAGAATGATGCAATTTATTGTCTGTGTTTCATTCTAGACTGCCCTCAGTGCCTTTTTTCAAGAAACAAATATTCCATATGGTCATCATCATCAAATGGTGAGTGGGTAATGATTTGCTTGTTAAACCCCTTGTGTTTTTAAAAATTAGATTATATCAACCCCTCCATGTTTTTGTGTGTGTGTTTTTTTTTCTTAAAGCTTGGTCTCTTTTAGGCTACCATGTGGTTGGAGGCCTTATGAGCAGCCCTCATAGGCCGAGAGAGATGATGTTGTACTAACAATAACAAAGCACATGTCGGCCATGTTGTGAGCTTCCAGAAATAAACACTGAGTCGCATGCAGCACCAGCAGCAGCCACATACACACACACTGTATACATTCAGAGGCGTCAGGATTGCAGAATTATTTTACTCAAGTGAAAGTACTGTTACTATGGTGACCCAGTCCTGAAGTTTAAATAAGGTAGCCTGCATATAATCTGCTCTATTAAAAGGATTCCTTTGAAGTGTGATCAGAGGAGCAGATTATTCTCTTGTGTTTTTAAACTGTCTATTTTATAAAACAGAGTGAAGCATTTAAAGATATACATTTTTTGTTGAGTTTTTGTTTCTAAATAAATGACCAGTTACTTCTGCCTGCCAAACGTATAATGTTATGTCCACATATTTGCATTAAATGTGTCGGAAGATTTTCATTTTCTCCACATTTAGCGTCAGATGAGCATGGCCAAGATGGAAGAGATTTGTCTATCCATAGGTGTTAATTAATGTCTATTTTTTTCAAACTTGACTTTGTAGTAGTGGTCCAACGCAACGGGCTTGCTGCCTCTGCTGTAAATCGTGTCTCTTCTAAGCGAGGGCTGACTTCTTTTTTTATTGAATGTTTTAAAAAAAAATCTGATTCTGTCGTGCAATCGATTGTAGTTGTACTCAAGTATGTATATATATATGTGTGTGTCTTTTTATACATATTGAAAGTATAATTGTACCTGATTATTAACTGAAACTCATTAGTGAGGTTATATGTAATTCTGTTCTTTGTGTAGGCAAACAAAGAGCCAAATCGATATCACAATGAGAATTATTATTATTTTATATTTTTCTCATTGCATGACTTTAGATGCATAGGAGGCGGGCGGCATAATGTCTTAGTTTTAGGACAGATAGACCCTTGTTCTGCTCCATTTGCCTCGGATAATTCTGCAAGGTGGTTAGACTTTATGAAAAACTTGCATCATTTGATGTTCTATCTTCAGCTTTTGTTTGCAGCTGCATTTATGGCAGCATCTGGGAACAGCTGCTTGCTGGAAAGCCTGAAATGGAAGGCGAGGGGATTTGGGAAATCGTCCATTTGAGCTTTGTTTCAGAGCAAGATCTGTGTAGAGCAGAGGGTCACCTAACTACTAAAGGTTTTCAGCCACATACTCAGTGAGAAATGTGCATTTGTTGCCTCAGAGTAGGGCAATTATGGCAGGTTGGCATAAGAACTGCTCACACTGAGCTGACGTGTCTTTTATCAAGGCAGGGCCCCTTTATCGTATTCTCATCTCATTAGTGAATAATAGCATTTGGCTTCCATTTAGCTCATGAGGTGTCGCACTTTAATTCGGAGAGTAAACGATTTGCCAGGAGCAAACCACCCCCTTCCACCAAATAGGACCAAGCACGCTGCAGTGACCTGATAATGTGTCAGAACAGACAGCATCTGCATTTGTTCTTGTTACAGTTTCAGCAGTGTGTGAGCGTGTGTTCGCACATTTCACACATCTATGTCTTGTGTATGAGTGACGTGGGTGTTTTGTAAAGAACTACAATGGTACTACAGCAGGGATGCATTTCCAACCTCCCTGCAGCTTACCAGGCTTCGGTGTTCGTTGGTGTACGAATCTAATCCACTTTGGTTTAACTTTTGACTCCCTCACTGTCTCCCTCCCCCTATTGCTGTCTCTCTTCAGTCTAAACATGAAAACAGAAAGCAGTATTTCTGCTCTTAAGTGTTATGGTATTAGTGTTTTGTGGGACAACAGGAGCTGAACTCATCCTTGGGATTGGTGTTTTGGCTCGAAGCCTCACCCCAGACCCAGTGGCCCCAACCTATACCCCTTGGAGATGCAATTCTTGGCAGCATGGTTCTTTACGACATCATGTTGGTCATTCGGTTTGTGGATAGTGCTCAGAGTTTTATGCCTTTGTCTTTGAGGCCCAAAGATGATTTGTTAGTGTCAGTGGGGCATTGTGAATTGTTTTACTGTCTATATTTGGCCTTCTGGAGAAGAAATCATCTTGGCTTCAAAGAGGTAGTTTTCTTTTGGTTTTATTTTTTCCTCTTAAAGATTAGCAAATATTTGTTTTGAGATTTGTAGCTGTGAGTGAGTTGGAATTTGGCTCGTGAACTATGTTCACCTGTGTTACAGTTTACACTTTTATCATTATTTATGTGTTGTGTTATCAGATTTCCCACACACCGTATGATGTAGTAGTGGAGTTAGATGGTCCACTCATCAGTTCAGTCTTGTAAAGTGCTGTAAATAATTGAGGTTTAGCTGAAGCTTCCCCCGAGTTAATTTCTTCTTTTGTAGACAGTGTGTGTGTTTCAGTTCATTAAAAAGTGGATAACTACGGAGAAACGGACGGCATATCCAGGGCATGTTGCGCCTGTACCCCTTGTACTTCTGAATGAATTCATTGAGGCTTGTATCTACATACCATGATAGACATCCAAGCTTTAATCAAATCCCAACCTGCTCTTTTATGGAACCCCACCCTGTTAACTCCCAGTGGACCCCCCCCCCCCCACACACACACACACTCACCCTGTCTGCACATGCAAACACTGCAGCCACAACACATTCCAAGAGATGCACCAACCTAAAATGGACCGTTTCACAGTGAAAGAGGGCTGCTGTAAGCAGAAACTACCTCCAGCTTTATACAACATCTCATACCTCCCTTAATATCACACCAGCCCTCTTTGTTGTTACAAACATAAGAGTCAAGGCTCCAGAATTCTAGTTACCACTCTTGTTTCCTGTCATACAATTTAATTGCCATGACATCCTTTAGTTTTAGCATAATTCTCAAAGCAATTAGCCACCACAGACCAATGTAGCTGCATGTTTGCTCACATTTGGCAAAAAGGGTTATTCTTTAAAAAAATAAACCCTAAGGCTGTTTTACTTTTATCTGTAATTTATAGTTTTAGAAATTGACAGAAAACCATGTCTTATTTAGCACTGCTTGTATGTCTTTTCTTGGGAAATACTTTTATATGCTCTGATGCTCTTTTTTATGGACACATGAACAACTTTGGAAAGTCATCATCTTCAGTTCAGTTAACATGGTCTTTAAACAAAAATCAAAGCAGGGAGAACACTGTGTTCTAAAACATAATTTTCAGTTATATCAGTTTCCATGATTAATTATTCTCCGTGTAGGTCACACATAGCCACAACAAAGTGAATGAATCTTCATGCGACCACTAAAGAGGAAGGAACTCAGCTGGGTGACTCCTACTGCTGTCTGGAAACATGTGATTCTGTCATGTGTCTGATTTGGGAGGCAAGCAAAGTAAACCACAAAGCTTGCTTTTAAAGTAGGAAATTCCTGTCACAGCCATGGCTGTTCTAACCATCTATCTGTCTGTCTGTCTGTCTGTCTGTCTGTCTGTCTGTCTGTCTGTCT